TATTATATATATATTATATACCACATAGTATTGTTATAAACCAATGTTGCCACAATTTAAAAAAAATCACAACATACAGAAAATAAAAATATAAGTAATATAGCCAGAAAGTAAGGAAGTGCTTAGGAAATGATGGATCCCTGTTAAAAGGACACAGGGGCTGGCTTTAAAGGGCTTTCACAGGGCAGATCTGGAACAATTTGAGCACTAGTAATGGATTGTTATTTGTTGAATAAAATAGGAATTCATAAGTTCATAGAGATCTCAATTAATTAAAAGTGTGATGAAAATGCAATATTGACATTGTCTCAAAGTATCTCCCCACAAAACATTTACTATTTGTAAAGGAGAAAAGAGTGACTGGCGAAGCCTGCTGGCCACCGCCTTAACCAAGACATCCAGCTTATCATCGCCAGTAGGGAGACTAACGGATATTGTGACCCCCGATAGGAAGCAAGGAGAACACAGCATCACTGTGGTGCACTTAATGTGGCCCCAGTGATCCCCACCTCCTGGCATTCATGTCCTTGTATAACCCCCTCAACTTGAGTGTGTGACCTGCTTCTGTCAAAGAAGTCAGCAAAGGTGACGGGATGTCGTCCTGTGATCATCTTACACTGTGTAAGTCTCCATCTTGCTTGCACTCCCTCTAGAGTCTTGCTCTCCTTGCTGACTTTGCAGAAGTGTGAGTTCTACAACCACAAGGAAAGAAATCCTGCCAACAACCCCAGTGAGTTTGCAAGCGGATCCTTCCCCAGGAGAGCCACGAGATGGGAACTCAGCCCTTGACTGCACCTTGATGACGGTCTCTTGGAGCACAAAAGTGTGCCCAACAGTCTCTTGGAGCACTAAAGTGTGCCCGGAGTCTTGACCTGCAGAAACTGTGAGATGATAAATGTGTGTTGTTTTCCCCTGCTAAATTGTGGTGATTTCTTGTAGAAAACTAATTTTTTAAAATAGAAAACTAATACAGTCACTTCTATAATATTCCAACCAAAGATGCCTGCAGTCTTCAAACGTCTCAAGGTGATGAAAGTAAGGAAAGACTGAGGAAACTGGCTGGATTGAAAGAGACTGAGGACACACGGCAACTAAGTGTAAGACCCAGTCTTGTATTGGATCCTGGGCCAGAGGGAAAAGCATTGCTCTTAGGGACATTATGGGGAGAGTTGGTGAAATTTGAGTGTGGACTATGGATTGGATCACAGCATTGTATAAATACTGAATTTCCTGATTTTAATCATTGTATGGCATTTATACAAGAAAATGATGAAGTGAATATGGTAGAGTGTTCACAATTGGTGAATCTGGATAAACGATATATAGGAATATTTGGCACTTGCAACTTTTCAGCAAATTTGAAATTATTTCAAAATAAAAAGAATTTTAAAATTTTAATGTTATATTTCACCTTAAAATTGTACTAGGAATAGTTCAAAGGACCCTATCACCACTTTGGGAGCCCCAGGGGACTTGGGGACCGCAGTCATATAAGGTACTATGTGCCACATAGATATAAAGAGTGTGGATGATACAAAACCTTTCATCACTTTGTATGGGTTTGGTGTGTTGTCAGGAATTTGATGTAAGGACTTGCCCTTTGGGAGTAATTCTTACGTGTTATTCACCCTGGAGCAATCATCTTCGGATCAGTAGGCAGTAAAGTTGACGTGGTGACATGTAGTGGACTCTGTGGGGCACTGCCCAGACCCCCTTCAGGCCTGAGGCCCTGGTTCCCCCTCTGCTGAGGGTGGGCTGGGGGGGTTGGCCATCACAGCTGAGGCTCTCCCTGGGAATTGCTCTCAGCCTAAAGAATCTGCCTCGCCAAGGGACGGCCCCTCCTGAGGGCAACCCACTTCTAAAGACCCACAAGGAGGAACAGACTAGCCTCCTTGCTTCAACTGGGACAACTCAGAAGGGCCACCCTACTCCAGAGCTGTATCAGTTCAGCTTCTCCTGTTGCCCAATCCTGCCTCCCCCACTGCCCTCACCGCATGATGATGCCGAAAGCTCTCCCCAGGAGCGCCCTGCAGGCTGGTCTCCGCCCGCCCTGAGGCTGTTTCCCAGGTCAGCTGATCTCCAGCACTTGCCTTCTCCGAATCCCCGACCAGGCTCCTCAACACAGGGCTGTCCGACCACAGGGCTGCCCCTTCCTTTGGATGCAGACGGAATGCTTCTGACCCACAGTGACTGTGAATTTTAAAATTCTGATTCTTTTTTTAAACAATATGGCAACAGAATCTGATAGAAAGGAGCTATTTCTCAGCCTCTCTCATGTCACCATTTCCTCATTCAGGAAAAACCCATCTCCAGTGATTTTGTTTACTTTAAAATTTTTAAACACGAACAAAATTATACAGAATAACACAATATAAGGCCACGGCAGATCCCCTCACCCAGCTCCAACCATCATCCAAGGGCAATCTCGCTACGTCAGTACCTCGACTGCTCCCTCTCTTCCATGTTCTTTGAAGCATATTCCAGATACCACACTATTTTACTGTAGGTTTTCAGGATGTACCTTTAAAAGAGAAGGACTTTTTAAAAACATAACCACCATAGCATTATGTAAAATATCACAGTTGGTAACAATAAGTCCTTACTATCATCAAATATGCTTCCAGCGTTCAAATTTCCATTTGTCTCATAAATGTTATAAAAGTTGTTTTGCTTCGTTTCTGCAGTTTATATGATAGAATCAAGATCCAGATAAGGTCTACAGACTGTTGTTGGTTGGCATGTTTCCAAAGGGCACCCTCCACCTCTTTTGTTTCCTCCCTTCCAGGTTCTTTGTTGAAGAAAGCTGTAGAGTACCCCACAATCGGGAAAGTATATTGTTTAACACGTTTGTCCGTATTTCCCGTAAATTTCCTGTAAATTGGCAGTCGGACCTGGAGGCCTTGTTAGACTCAAGTTCTTTTTTTGGCAAGACAACATTTTACGTGGGATTGCGTTGTTTCACGGGGAGGCAACTCAGGCCTGGCTGTTTCCTTTTCGGCCTTGCTCCCAGCCTTTGATGGTCAACGCCTAGACAAATAATTCCTTGGGAGCTACCAATAGTTACATTCTATCATTGCATCTTCATTGATTAGCTGCATTACTTTTTAAGAAGTGAAACTTCCCCTTGTCTATTGTTTGGTGACCCAATAGCACAGTTTGAATAAGAAAGTTAGGGTAAATGCGAGATTCTTTTTCTTGGTTTACCAGTGTCCAAAATAATGAGGTGGTTCCCCAGCATCCTCCCAGTATGACCAATTAATTTTTATTTCCTTTACTATCACTGTGAACACGGAGTTCATAATGCACTTCAGGGCATTGCGAGTGCTGTCCTTACGGATGCTCAGGATGATGCTCTCTGGTCGGTGGGAGCTTCCTCAGGCTGGAGCCTGAGTCCTGTTGCGTTGGCCCTCGTGGTCTCTGGCAACGTCCTTGCTACCCAAATAACAAGATGCAGCAGACTCATCTTGTATGTTTCCTGCCCTCTAGACCTGGAATCAGTTATTTCTCTAAGCAGCCCTGGATCTTTGTAATGAGAAAAGGTATTTCAAAACCACAATATGGGCTAAAGGAGGCATCCTCACTAATTAAAAAAAAAATCCTATGTTAGGAGAAGGTTGGAAAAGGAATTCTTTCACTGTTCTTTTTATATCCCTCTGTCTTACTTGAATTTTTATTACGTGTATTCATTCTTTTTATTCAATTATGGCATACAAATAATACACAGATTCAGAGCTGAAAAGAAGTCAAAGTAAAATTCTTTCACACCTTTCCTACGCCACTTCCCTGCCAGAGGTAACTACGGTTATCAAGTTACCAATTGGTCAGGAACTCTTCCAGACTTGGTCTTAGAAAATAGTCACCTAAATAAGACTAGTCTCCTAAGGGTACCACATTCTGTTTTAATCTGTTTGGATGACTCAAAGAAACAGTAATCTGAGGTAAAAATACAATGGAGAGCAATTTCAACCTTTACTGGGACCCACAAGCAGGGCCCCTGAGTTGCCAGCTGCAGGGCATGCTGTTCCCACGGAAGACTCCAGATTGGTGCCCCTCGATGGTTGCAGCGCACAAGGAGCTGCCCACAGACCAACAGGACAACAAGCACAGACACGAACATACAAAAAATGACTCTGACACTGTGAAATGATGCTGAACTTTGCTTCTAATGAGACAAATGCAAAATAAAACTACACCAAGATACTACTTTTCATCTCTTGGATTGGCAAAGATTACAGTGCTCCCTGACACACCCTCATTCAAAGCCGGCGGAATGACTATTTCTGGCAATTTGACAAAACGCATTCAGTTACAAATGTATTAGCACTTGCTAATGCAAAACACTTCCTGGAATTTACAAATATATACAAACATACTCGAATGTTTAAAAAATGAAGTATGTGTAAGGCAGGCTTCTTAATGAGGCTGCACAGAAACAGTTTGGAGATTCATCAACTTGGATGAGAAAAAAATTGTGTTTTTGTTTTCACTAAATTCTAACTGAAATTGATCATTTCCTTTAATTAGTAGGCAGGAAACCACAATAGTATCAGCCTGTGCCTTTGTTACTGGTAAAAATCTGATCTTTTATGTCATCTTACAGTTGTTGCAGATATTCTAAAATATCATTTATGTTCGTGCATACTTTGAAATTACAGTAGTTATTAGACCCATGCCAGATCTTGTGATTTAATTCATTAATGAATAAGCACATATATTTCTTCTTCTTCTTTTTTTTTTATTTGAGGAAGATTAGCCCTGAGCTAACTGCTGCCAATCCTCCTCTTTTCACTGAGGAAGACTGGCCCTGAGCTAACATTCATGCCTATCTTCCTCTACTTTATATGTGGGACGCCTACCACAGCATGGCATGCCAAGTGGTGCCATGTCCGCACCCAGGATCCGAACTGGCGAACCCCAGGCCGCCGAAGCAGAACGAGCGAACTTAACCGCTGCACCACTGGGCCTGCACATATATTTCTAAATAAAAAATATTTTGATAACTATATTTCAGTATAATTGATTTCCTTTTAATCCTAAGGATTTTATTTTATACTCTTGAAAACATTATGGTGAGAAGAAATTCATAGGTTTTAGCGGACTGCCAAAGGTGTGCACCGTACCAAAGAAGTTAAGATTAGGGTAATTCATGGTGTCATGTATATAAAAGCGATTGGAAGCAGCCAAAAGGGTGGACTAGCTAAAAAATATTTGTACGTTGCTACGCTGCAATACTCTGCAGCTGCAAAAAAAGAATGGGGAATCATTTATCTAATCAAATGAAACAACATCGCAGATATTGACAGGACAGTAAAGCAGCGTGTAGAAGAATCTGTGTAGGATGATGCCACCTGTATAAAAACTGAGTGGGGTGAATACGTAATACAAATGTCTATCTGCTTGTATGTGCATAAAACGCCTCCGGAAGATAGACAGGCAGCTGGTAATGTGGTGGCCTCCATGGATGAGAGGTGGGTGGCTGGGGCCTGGAGCGCTGGCGAGACTTTTTCCTGATAAACCTCTCAGTACATTTAAAGATTTGAACCATGTGAATGTATAATCTATTCAAAAATTAAATAAAATCTAACATTTAAAAGCTCCTTACTAGAGTCTGGCAAAGGAATCAGTACACAGCCTGTGGCAACACTTCTTGAAATCCAGTCTCCACCTGGCCTTGGAACCACAGCCCGCCTTGCAGGGCCCTGAGGGTCTCACCTCTCACCACTCCTCCGTCCACACCCCCAGCAAAACTCTCTCTCTGAGACTTCTTTGGCTCTTGCCTTTCCTTATACTTTTAGCTTTTCCTCTTCTGGAAGTGAAATTCAGCCTATTCCAGTAAGAGCAAACACACTCCTGTCTTGTCTCCACTTCTGTTGCATCACAAACGCTCACAAATTCAGTCGGCACTGGTGGAATCATTCTTCACGGGCTGTGAAAGGAAGTATGTGAATATTCACAAGTTAGGCATTTTTTGTCTTCAATATTGATTGTGCACATTTTCATCACAGATTTATTTTAAAATGAAGTCTCACTCATAGAATGGAGCAGATTTTAGTTTTGTTATTTACAAGTGGGGCCTAGTTACTACTATTTGTAAGAGAACATAAATATTATGGGATTAGTTTGCTAAAATATTTCTTCTTCCCAACACACCTCTCGTGAATTCCCTACTGTTCCCAAAATGGAGCCAAGTTTCAGTATATTGATGACCACACTTGTCCAATTGGTCTTTGGCTATCTAGGGCCTGTTTGTAGGACCAAAGTAAAATATTTTGAAGAAAGCATTAATGCTGAGTTCCGAGTCACAATGGCCAGCATGAGTAATGATTGCCCAAATTATGCCAGTTGCAAAACAATTGGGAGTGTTTATAAATATTTGTTTGGAGCTTTATGATAACAGATGCTGATTCTTCTTGAGATTTGGGTCAGCACAGGGAAGCCGGCTTTATTTTTGGAAAGTATTTTATTTAGAAGAAGACTCACAGTTCTTTGTACAATAAACAAAACTATAGCATGTTCTGGCCTCAAGAACTCAAACAAGTCATCTAAAACTAAAACATAACATTATTTTTACGGTGCACTCTGGGAAAATATTTGAGATCTCAACAGAAACCTCTAGCTTGTTTTTGAGTTAGAAATGTGTTTTCTTTGGAGTCATGAACAGGAAGAAGAAAACTGGGACAACTGCCAAGGCTCTGTGCTTTGAGCTTTCCACGCTGCAGAGCCAAGCAGTGGCTGGAACTGTGGGGACGTTCAGGGCTGCCAGTGGGTAAGGGGGGAGAGGGGGGACTTTGGGAGGAGGGAGATAAAACTTCCTGTTACTTCTGAAGACCTGTGTAACAAAAGGAATTGTTAAGAAAGAAAAAACTGATATTTCCAGCTCTTTTTTCCACCCATGACACCCAGTACAAAAATCTCCCTAGCTTGCGTTCCCCCGAGGAGAGCATGGAGGTTAAGACTTTGGAGCTGCAGCCACAGAAGCTACCTAGTCGAGGAACGAGGTTAGTTTTCCTCAAGCCGGGGGTGGGCATGTGCACAGGAAGCAGGAAGGGTTTTGGAAGGACATGGCCTTGGGCTCCCTTGCATGTAAGTGCCTGGCAGGAATTATTTTTGGATGCCCGTTAGAGGCTCCAGCTCATAGGAGACCCCGAGGCCCTGCAGGTCTCTGTGGGCCTGTGTTGGGTGGAGGAGCAGACCACCTTCTGGGGCATCTCCGCTGTGCCTGGAAAACGCTGCCCGAAGGGTGCCTTGGAGAACTGGTGAGCCACAGCAGACGGAGAAGGTCATAAGGACTCTGCAGGCTTAGGCATCCCAAATACTGGGAAATCCCTGAATGAGCCCCTGAATGGAGGGTAAGAAAGCGCTCTCCGAACATGACTGAGGCTGAAGTTTCCGCCAGACATGTGGATGAATGCACAGAACCAATTTCTCCGATTTAGAGAAATGTAGCATTTATACAACAGAAAGCAGCAGAGTGACATTCATACTTGCTACATTGGAAGGATACAGTCAGGTGTAAAACTCATCTTCCTTCACTACCAGGACTCTCTTGCTAACGCACGTGCACACACACACACACACACACTTCCATCAACATCCTGGAAGAAACTGCTTGGGACCAGCTTGCCTCCCCGCCCTTTCTTACATATCCTTCAGTCTTCACGTTACCTGTCCCATTAGTCTTCTTTCACTTGTTGGCTTCATTCACTTATTCATTTAATTAATTCTACAGAAAATCTTGAGGGCCTAAATTTTTCCTGTAATTCAAAGTCATAATTCCAGTCTCAGGATGTTCACAGTCTAGAGCATGGTGTTGAGTAGAGAGTGGGAGGGATGAGCGGGGGGGAAGCAAGAAGCAAGAGCAGTTCATGACCCCAGAAGGAGGACAGAGGACTTTAGCAGTACAGAGCGACAGTTAACCCAGTCTGGAATGAGAGGAGGGGTCAGGCTAAGTTTTTGCAAGAAAATGATGATTTAGCAGATCTTGAGTTTGCAGAGAGTGAGTGGGCACAGGAAGAACAGTCCAGAAGACAGATCAGCCAGGGCATATGCTCGGGGACGTGAAGAATATGGTCTACTCAATGAACCACGGAGACTGGCGTTGTAAAAATGTAAGCTGTAAGAAGAACAACCACACATTCCTTCTGCCTACTGCTGTTTCTGAACAGTATGCTCTACATACAGCCATGGACCCTCAGCTATTCCTCAACGATTCTGCCCAGTGTGGATGTATGTAAGAGATAGCAAAGCAAGCAAAATGATTTCTAGCAGCAAAGCAGGAGACTAGATTATTGGGAGAGTTTATCAGACAAATCATACGGAAGTTCTGAAGTCCTCCTGATATATACGAATAGTCAAAATATGTTAGTCAAATACTTAGATCCTTGCATTTCTGTACCTAGAGTAAGACTTGTAATATAATGGTTTTCTGAAAATAGCACATATTAGCAGATATTACTGCAACAAATGTCTTCCCTTATGTGAATGGGTTTTACATATAATTTAGTGCTTGTCAGCCAAAAATAAAATTATTAAATTATTTCACGCATAATTTGGTTACCGATGGTTGAGAAGACACAGAAAGGTTAGCACAGGGCATGGTTTTCCACATAAAGATAAACGCTGTTTTCAGGCTCAATGCAGAACGTCTTCTTTGAAGTAAGATCTTGTCCTTGGCTAATTCTTCCATGCAGACGTGCCTCCTTCCATTCACTCTCCATCTCAAGCCATCTCTCCTTTCAGGAAGTGTCCCAGGAACCAAACTCAGTATGTTTTTAGCAGCTTGCTCATTTTTTCCAAGAAGAAAAAGGAGCATCATTTCTATGGCTGTTTGTTGCACACATGCTGCTTGTCAGGAGTTAATGGACCAAGTAGAGAGATGGAAGAGATGATGAGATTAAGAAACTGTTGCCTCAACTTAGTTTCTCCCCTAAGAAAAAAGTTTTGAAAATTTTGTTCCTTGGGAATAATTTAAGATTTTCAGTCAATGTTCCTTTAGAGCAAGTTTTTGAAGCTTTTGTTTGTACCATGGGCCCCTGCGACAGCCTAGCATTACCTATACTCCTTCTCAGAGTAATGTTTTAAATGCATAAAATAAAACACATAGAATTACAGTTAAAGTAGATTATTTCATAAAAATACAATTACCAAAATCACTTTTAAGACTTCATGATAGCATAATATACTTTTTAAAATGTTTTTATTAACACGCTAAGTAATAAAATCTAGCCGCAAGTCTAGTAGCTGCCATATTTTGAAGTGGAGATGAATGTAAAGGATATTTTCAAGATGTCTACAACAATCATGACGTGATAGGAAAATGCCTTTTATTTCTCTCGGTGGCAGCCTCACAGGAACAGTTAATAATTCCTATGCTTGGGAATCTACACTCGTAATTGGGGGAAGTGCTAGAGGTTCAGGAAAATTAAAAAGAGGACTTTTTTCTTCATCAAGATCCATAGACCGCTGAGTTCTGTCTCGGAGCCCAGACAAAGAGCCTTTGTTTTACAGACGCCTGGGATGAGCACGGTGACTCCGTTTCTACTGTTCATAGGGAGGTCACCCTAATGAGACCGATACTCCCAGAATTTATCTTCATTCCCAGTTAGGAGATGTGAGAAGGAAGTTTACTGTTGCATTGTTCCTTTAAACTCTGTATACCTAAACTCTGTATTTACAAAGTCTAAAACACTGTAAACTCATTCCACACTCCTTCCTTAATCCTTCATAATTTCAGAGTTATTTTTTTTAAAAAAAGCTTTAGCCCAAAGACAGCGCAGAAAAACAGAGCCACCGTGAGCCTGCCAGAGGACCCTAGGTCAGCTTCATCTCCTGCGTGACCTTGGTGAGTCCCTTATCTCTGATCCTTGGCTCGCTCGCCATAAAACAGGCGCAGTGATATCCACCTGGCAGTGTTATGGCGAGGTTGAAAGGGGATAGCATCTATGAAATGCTTCACAAGCTGTGACGAGCTGCGCAAACACTGCAGAAGTCCAAAATAAACTCATAGAGGACTGAGTCTCCTCTATGTCTTTTTCTCACTGTTGTACAAGACTGGGGGCCCACTGAAAGGCAAAGTCAAGGATAGCACACGGAGGAAGAAGTGTCCCTGACTTGAGACTGGTACAGAGCATGAGCAAAGTAGAGTGTCCTCTGCCACCGGGGGGTCTCAGAGCTTCTTTCCCTGCTAGTGTATGGCTGTATAACACCACCCTGCCCCACCAGCCCCACAAGAAGAACAGGAAAACCTTTCCAGGTTTGCTCTGATCACCAGTGTAGCCATCCATCCACCCGCTGATAGTCACGGAAGAATGTTAGAAATGGCTTGCAGGTGCCAACCAACCAGAATTGTAGAGCCGTCAGGGAGTACAATGGCCTTCTGTTTTGAAATAAATATTTAAGCCTGTAAATATCTGTGGGCATTTTGTGAAGTCCCAGTGCACATTTCTCACTCTTCAGCCTATACTCTGCCAAACTCTGCTAACACTGAAACCATACCCCATTTTATGTGAATGGTTATTATTTCAAGATTTATGCATATCTTTTAGAGAAACATACTGAAGTGTTCTTGGATGAAATGATATGAGGTATAGATAAATTGAGTCTGTCCACCTGCTAACATTTGTTGAAGCTACCTGATGGGTGCATGAGGTTTTATTATGCTTTTCTTTCTACCTTTGTATATGTTTGAATTTTTCCATTATAAAAGTGTTTAAAAGTTTGACCTATAGAAAAGAAAAGACAAAGACATTCTGCTTTTATGTTAAATTAGTAGAAATGAATGAATGAATGAATGAAAGTGAATTAGTGTATCAGAAGATTTAGACTCCATCAGGTTCATCCTTAGTTTGTCCTAAAATCTCTCTTATCAATATTGATGTTATTATGTTGCAGATGATAACAATAAACATTACGTTAGGCAGGGAAACACGTAAAGCATGATTTTTTTTTTTTTGCTGTCTGCACCTTTTTCAACTAGATGGATCTGACTGACAATGAGCATATCCTCCAGCTGTATCTGTTCAAATATTTGCCAGTCTTTTATAGTAAAAGACTAGAATAGCTGTTTATTCTGAAAATGCATAAAGGTGGTCAACAGGGTGATCAGTCTAAGGGCCTTGTGTCAAAAATACATAGTATGTGCGGCTGGCCCAGTGGCTTAGTGCTTAAGTTCACGTGCCATGCTTCAGTGGCCCGAGGTTCTCAGGTTCACATCCCAGGCACAGACTTACACACTGCTCATCAAGCCATGTCTTGGCAGCGTCCCATATACAAAGTAGAGGGAGATTGGCACAGATGTTAGCTCAAGGCCAATCTTCCTCACAAAAATAGCCATATATATGTATATATATGTTATGCATTGGATATAGAATTAAAATTCATAATGGAGACACTGTATTATTTCTTGAGTGTTGTATCTCCAATACATGAGCACGTATGGCAGTCTCAGTACTATAAGGATATCTTTTATCAGCAAGTTACAAATGAATCTATTTGAGATAAAATATCTTTACATAAATAATCCACTACTTTATCTCATAACTAATCCATAGATCCATTATAAAAAGGATTATCTCATAAGAACATGAAACTGGTGATTACAGCTTATTAAGGCAACACAGTAAAATGGCAATAACCAATTGACAGACAATCCTAAAAATGAAATTGGGAGAAGTTTAAAAAATGCTCCTCTGGAAGTTCTTCCATTTCTACCTTCCTCAGTACCATTACAATTTTATGTAAGGACAAATGCATCACATTTAGGAGTGATTGCTAAAATCAAAAGGAAATGAATAAGTTTCTGCGTGTCATTATTTAAGCTATAAAAAAGGAATATTTATTCCTTCTGTCACTTTTATAATTATCTCTATGAATATATATTTATGAATTTTATTCCGTATTTCCATGAAAACTGATCTTAAGATTATATTGTTATGCCATATAATAAAAACTAAAAAGTGAATATGGTATTAACTCATATTCTCCCATTCTGTGTTAAAACACACAGCAATAGTGACATGCTACTATGAAGACCAGTTCCTGGTGTGATCAGTCTCTCTTCTCTGAGAACTGAGAAAAGTCTGTCTGTACCACCCAGCTGGCTGATTCATGACTGAAATCGGTAAGCTGCTGGACAGCATGTGCAGGGTCTTACTTGGGTAAATCAAGTTAAGTATAGTTGCCCAAGTGTAACTCCTTTAAGGAAATCTAATGAGCCAGAAAGAAATTACAACTTCTATCTTTATCAAATGCCGACTTGATTCCATTTTGGTTTTCATTGCTTTGATCCAGTTTATCACATAGAAAATGTTCCAAAAGAACAAGTTGGTTTTGCCATGATCTCAATATTTCAATCATGTGTGCATAGCATTCAAGACTGTATTTGCGTGATTCCTTAGAGTGACATTTTGCTCAGCGCAAAAAAAAAACATGAAGCAAAAACTCAAAAGGAATGTAGTGGGTATACTCCATACTAAGAATATCTACACTTATGTAACCTTATGTCTTCATAGCTCTTCTAAATTCACAACCAAACAGTTGAGAAAAGGGCTATACGATTGTTACGTTTATTGACCAGAATTGGGCTATTTCATTTGATGCTCAAAACAATGCTATGGTTCAGCAGAACAGGTCTTATTGTTACCTGTTCCCATCTTACAATTGGGAAAACCAAGACTCAGGAAGGTCAAATGCCCGGGATGACAGAAAAAGTGGGAGGACCAGAAGCAAACCTCCGTTCCCTGGATCCTAGCACTTTGCCCCTCCTGACACGCCATGCAGTTTCTAAGATGGTTATGAGTGATGATTGACCTTAAATCACTTGTTTACCTTTGGAAAGCATTTTTCTCCTTGGATCCCCACCTACCTGGCACCAGCTCTCTGCCAGACTCTTGGAGTCACTATTAACAGGAGGTAACAGGCGGCAGCTTGGCCATCTGCCATGTAGAAAGACTGGATCACCTCCTTTCGGTAAAGGGTTTCCAGGCTCAGATTTGTCAGGCATTCTAAAACCGACAGAAAAACACAGCCACCTCTGAAGCAAATAGAAAAATAAACACCAAATTCAGCATTTTGTGTTCCAAACGAAAACGTCATTCTGCAGATAATCAGTTGTTATTTTTAGAAAGAAAGAATAAAATTTCAGCTCTGTTACCAAAACTATGGCCTCATCCATCAGGGACACTGATGCAGAAGCAAGCAGAAACTACCCAAAGTCTGTAGTTCCTATATGACTGAGTAATGCTTGAATAAATACTCGGTTCCCAACACACAGCTCAGCGTTTAGCTAAGTCCAAACGTACCGCTGCCAACATTTTTAAGTCAATACTGATATCTAAAATAAACACAGGCTGACTAACACACACTGGTACGTTAATGAAAATATATTGGGAAATCGCTCCTTCCCTAGAGAACTGCTTGGACATTTTCTCTGGGTAACTGTTGATTAGTCATAAAAATGATAAGCCCCCTAAACTTTTTAAAAATTAATTCATTCAACAAACTTTTTTTCTTTCTGAGCACTTACTCTTAAGAACTGTGAAGGGTATGAGATTTTACCCTCCTTTCGAGTTAACAAGTTAGCTTGCCGTAGTGCTATAGAAGCTGGCATAGAAGTCATGAGCCTCCCGGGTCAGAGACCAAGGACTTGATTGCTTACCACAGTAGCAGCAGGCAGTGTCAGCATTTGAGAGGAACTCCGAGCTTATGGAATCTTTTATACTGAACAGTAAGCACGCCTGCTCATTGCTCCTGAGGGAGACACCTCCTCACTCTTCCAAAGCACTTTCTTATACAAACATCCTTGAAAAGCAGTCCAGAACAAAGGCAGTCAATGACGCTACTCGAAAGGTGTGTAGAGTGTGAGAAGCCCATGGAGAATTGTCTCCCAGCACTTGTTCTCTGCCAGACATTGTGAGAGGTGCTAAAGATATGAAGATTAAAAGAGAGAGCATGACATCCAGTTCCTGATGAATCTAGTATTGCTAATAAATTTAACCATGACCTTGAACTCTCAAATTCTGTCCATGGAAACATTGGGAAGTGCAGTTTGTTCAGTATCCCTCCTTAACGTCATTCTTACAATAAAAAAAAATTGGTGGAGGATCCACAAGGCAGAGATCTTGTCCTTCAGTCCAACTGGGTTGCTCGTGAAGTGTTAAAGCAGTGAGTGCCAACGAAACAGAGCTAACGCATTGTATTTGCAGTGGAGCGAGATATTTCAGCATTTCCAAAGCAGCCAGTCTGTGGCATAATGAACCGAATGACATACAGGTAAAGGTCAGCGGCAGGGGAAGTAGATAACAGTGTTTAAAGACAGAAGTGAAAGCTGATAGAAAAATATTATGAGGGAAACCTCTCTTAATTGTACTGGTACAACTTTATTATAAAAGAAATGAGAGTGAAGCCACACCAAAATTCAGACCAAACCAGCTGGCTCTAGCAAATGAATCACTGACAAATGACCTTTAAAATATAATTTAGAGGTGAGTTTTTCCGTGGGGACTTGAGCATTATCACCAGAATGCATTGAAAAGAGAAGTTTTAAAATTCCGCTGAGAATATGCAGTCTGAGCCTCCGAAAAAGACATAAACATTCTATCCAAATCATTTCAACTTCAGTTAGTTCTTTATAATGACACTTCTCATTAAGATCATCCAGTTCTCTTTATTCTGACTTTGTTTTTCCCAAGCAACTTTTCAATAATGATTCAGCTTCTCAGGCTGACTTACCCATAAGTGAGAGAAAATACTGACCTGAGAAGATGAATGTTTCAGACTCCTTAATATCTCCATTTTTTTCCACTCCAAAATAGTTAACTGACAATCTGGTTTATCAACCAGGCTCTTGTGAATTTAGTTAGTGCAAGCCAGTTTCACCAGAGTCTGATTTTCCCTGAATAACACGAAAAAATTAATGGAGTTTTTGAAAATGCAGACATACCATCAAAAAATACTCATATTCATCACTGGGCTCATGCTGGGGCCCTCTGGTCAATATATGCATTCTACAAGACTGAATGATCAACCAACTGGCTTTTCTCCCTTTAACATCTTTTCAGTGTAAAAATGAGTCCATCTGCCCTTTTCCTTTGGCTTTTCCATAAAAGTTAAAGTTTAAGAACCTGTTGAAGTGCTACCTATGGTCCTTAGCACACAACACATTTCCTACCCTTGAGTGCTATCTATCAGCTAATATTTTCTTGGGCTACCCGTAACAACGACAATTTCCAAACCATTTGGTATACAGTCACGTCTGTTCGTCTTAGATCTATCAGAGGTATTTCCTCTAAGATTATATGTGTGTGAGTGTGTATGTGTGTGTGTGTGTGTGTGTGTATAATGATTTTGGGACATAGTGGGATACAATTGGATAACAAAGGCCTGAATGCATGGAAGCACAACGTGTGTTTAGACAATTTAAATCCATTTAATTATGATGATGTGATTATCCCCAAATTAGTTTATCATTCCAAAATATTTGAATTACTTCACGCTTAGGAAATAAGTTCAGTTTCCCAGTGTCTCAGGCACTTTTCCTACCAATATTGCCTCCACTGTACTTTGACTGTGGGTAAAGGGCTGTGAGGGAGCCTTCACATCTCCCTATTTAGAGGCGTTCAGTGTTCTGAGGCCCTTAGGAAGAGCAGATTATGAAAGTCATGAAATTTAACCACTGTGAAAAAAAAAGTAGTAACATGCTATTTATAATATCTGCTGACTGTGTCTGAGGGAGTTACTCTGCTAAGTGCAATGCAGGAGAGAGGTGGGGTTCAGGAGGGAAGGTATGAGAAGCCCTAGTGACCTCTCCATGAGAACCCACCCAGCCAACGCCTATGCTCTCCCTTAGCAAGATTTTCAGAGCAAAACTTCCTTGGATGTGTAAGGAGGAAGGAAGGAAAACTACATTGGAGTCAAATTTGCTTCTCTGTGCTTTTTTTTGGGTCCCCATCAGCCATCAGCAGGTGCTTGTCTTTTCCCCATTGTCAAAATACCCTCAGTAATGAGAGAAGTAGAAGGCAGACCGCCCGGATCGGCTGAAAAGCCATAAGCCAATCAGCTCAGGCGGGGAGAGTGTGGGCATTTTTTTTGCAGAGGGATTAGATGTGTGCGTGGAGGGCAGGGGTCCGGAGTCTACCCCTGAATGGAGTTTCCAAAAGTCACTCTGTATTAAAAACAAATTTTTAACGCAAAAGTTGCACATCTTAAAAGGTTTAATGTCTTTAAGGAATTACTTTGACGTGGCATTTGCAAAAGTCACGATACAAAGATGAGACAGGAAAGAGGGTGAAGAGGAGCCTAGGACCATGGAAGAGGGTGACGTCTTGATTGAGCTTTACCTATTTTGCTCCCCAACCCTAGGCTCCGCCTCACTTTCCAGCCGGGCCCTGCCCCCAGCGTGGCACCCCTCACGCTAGATTATTACTCTGAGCAAGAACTATCGCAAGGGATAAAGAATAAAAGCGCATGTCTGCCTGAGCAGGACTCTCCCCTGCCATTGTCTCTCTCGACTCAGTTACTGAACTCTCAGTTTCCTCGCCTGTAAAATAGAGTTCTTAACACCAGCCTCCCAGAGCATTATGAAATTAAATAAGATAACGTTCCCAGAAGCAACTGGAAACAAGGACGCAGGTAGTTGATCTGAGAGGAGAATGGAACGCGCCGAGAGAAGGGGGAGCGAAGCCTGGGAGGACAGCAGCCGTGAGAGGTGATGAGCAAGCCCGCGGCTGCCAGGCCTTACTGGAGCTTAAAACACCTCTAACATCTCTGTGAAAAAAGAAGAAAGGTCAGCCCACCTGACCATGTGACACAGGGGGACTCCTCCTGAGATTGGTGGCAGAGGAATTCTCTCTTTTAAATTGGTTGTCATGTGGAATGGCATAGCTCGAGTTTTTGTCCCTTTATTTTATTTAGTTGTAAGCTATCTAAAACAAGTTTGGCAAACAGTGTGAGCTAACGTCCATTCTGATTGAGTGACAGCAACACCCTAGAATTGTGTTGAGAAGGATTCTGTGGATCCATCCACGCTCAGAAGCAAAAGAAAACAGTGGATTACTGACATGCAGGGGGAGGAACAGTGCCGTGCTCTGTGTCTGTCTCCCTAACCTCGCTGTCACCCATATCCTGCTGATGCATATACGCAGGCCCAACAGAACTTGATCCTGTAATACCCTCCCATTCTGTGAGGACCTGAAAACAGTCATCTAGATAACTTTTAAAATATTACAGCTAGAATATTAGGGATGGTTCATAAGAGATATTAAACTAATTAAAACTACAGGACCACTTTTTTACCTACACATTGGCAAATGTTAAGAAGCATGGGTGAGCTCGTGGAGAAAGAGGCCTCACACAGATTTTGGTGGGTGTGTAAAATGGTCCAATCCCTTAGAACCAAAATGAGCAGAGTGTAAGTGTCCATGCCCTTTGACTCAGTGATTCCATTCTAAGACTTTAACCCCCAAGTATACTCACACGTGCACATACGTGTCCTGAGGTATGCTCATTGCAGAAATTTCAGTAGCAGCAAAGATTGGAAGCAACCTAAATACCCATCACTAGGGGAAAAGTTATATAAATTATAGTTCATTGGGACAATGGAACACTGAGCCATGCAAAGAGTGCTGAAGATAGTCTGCGTAGGGATGTATATGGAAAAATCTTCTTGATGAGTTGCTAATACAGGGGCAAAATGATTTATTATGCTAACATTTGTGTAAAAAAGAGAAGGAAATATATACACACACAAATACACGTGTGTATTTGTTCATGCAAATTATATATTTAAATACAAAAAGGTTCTAACAGAGGTTGCCTCTGGGGAAGAAAACCAGAGGGCAGGCAGACAGGAGTGGAAGGGGTGTTTACGCTCCCCCACTCGTATCTCCTCTTGTACTTCTTCCATTTTTGTAGACCATGTTAACGTACATTTGTAAAGGGAGAAAATTAACTGTTTGCGAATTCTAATTGTTCTTGATCCCGCTTCCTTTTCTTCAATAATCTTAAGGAGAAAGGAAGGAAAGAAGGGTCACTCTTGTTCCCACCACTCGGGGAAAATCGTCGTTAATATTTTGGGTTAATACTTTGGTATATTGATATTACTGCCCAGTCTTTTTTCTCTGCATAAATATTTCTCTGCCTTTTAAACTTAAAAAAAAAAGGGGGGTGTATCATGTGCACATCTGCTTATATCTCCTGTTTTTTCACCTAAGATATCACAGTTTTTCACGTCAAACATTCTTCTACAACGTGGTGTTGAGTGCCGCATTGTACTCCAGAGTTTGGATACACCGTAATTTATCCACTTGATCCCTTACTGTTGGGTATTCCGGCACGCAGAGTTCTTGTTGAGAGTTAAAACATAAGGACCAGAACAATGACACTGGTTTTATGTGTGACTTGAAGTGCCAGTTTCTTTCTCTTAGAGTCACTCCTCATTTGTAGACAGTCAACACACTCTGTTCTCTCTGTTCACTCACAACCTGAGGCCCCTCCCTAAGCCAAAATCATACATGGAATATTTTATTTATAAAGAAGCCTTTTGTTACCAATGAGTAACTGAAAAAAATGCAGTGCATTCAAAGTATTTCACAAATCATTTGCTCATGATTATGACGTTAATTGGAACTAAAAGAATTAGCATACTTTAAAACCAAATTGAAGGGATTACCTTTTTGAATGTTAAACTATGAAGAGATGTTCATTTTATTTTACAGAAGGTAGAGTAGAGTTTGAGTAAACTTTTCCAGAAACCAAAAGATCTGCAGAGCAGAAATGCAGAGAGAAATGGAGGGTGTTTATCAAATAATGCAAATAAAGTCATCAGTGGTTTGCAGCTTATGAGGACAACACGGTGAACAGCGGCATTTAACAAAGCCATTTCAACCATCTGTTCAGAAGCCACAGTTCCATGCAAGCCCGGTTCACAAAGGTACAAAGCTGAAAGGAAGTTCAGAGGCTTGGAGTCCCAGGTTCCTACCTGCTGGGAAAACCCTTCGTGCCTGGAGGGATGCAGATGGCGACAGCACCATCTCAGTAATGGGACCCAAGCAGCTCAGGCTCTGCCCTTTTGTTGGCAGTCTTGGAGGGGCTGGGAAGTTCTTCTGTCGTGAGCAGAGTGGAACCCTTGGGGCTAACCTGCTAAATGAATAACAGAACTCATCATGAAAACAAGACATTTTTAGAAACTTGATATTACAATCAACATTTTCATATAAATTAAATTTGACCCAACCGTTTACAAATCTTTTGATATGTCTCTTGCACTTTAAGCACGATACTAATACATGTTATTTAGTCATTCATTTAACAAATATTTGTTCAGTGCTTGGTGCCAAACACGCTTTCAGCTCTACAGATGCGAAGATGAAAAGGGGCGTCTCGCATTCTCATGGTAGGGGCTGTCAATAAACTAATTGCAACGAAAAGCAACAAGTGCCATGAAGGAAACAAATATGAGCTGAGATTGAGAAAAACCAAAGGAGACTTCCTGCAGGTAGGCGCCAGGAGGAACTCTCTAAGGAGCGGAAGCTTAGGCTGAGCTCATCCCCAGGAAGAGACGCAGCCAAGCTTGGGAGGTGGGAGGAGGGACATTCCACGCAGAGGGCGCAGCCACCAAGGGCTCTGAAGACAGGTGAGACTCCGCCTCTCCGAACACCCAAGAGACCGCCAGCATGGCGGGGCGTGATGGTGGGGGAGCAGGGGGACCGGACGAGGCTGAAGAGATGGAGGCGGCCTCTCCGAACACCCAAGAGACCGCCAGCATGGCGGGGCGTGATGGTGGGGGAGCAGGGGGACCGGACGAGGCTGAAGAGATGGAGGCGGCCCTTCCGCAGGGCCTCGTGGGCCGTGTGGGAACCTGGATTTTTTTTTAGTGTGAGGCCAAGCATAATGTTTGTAATAACGTTTTACTAAAGGGCCTGTTCCAGAAGTAAAATAAACTCAAAAGTCAGTGCACAGTTTTG